TGAGTGAGCTTATAAGGAACACTAGTTGCCTTGGCAATATCAATTAATTTACTTTGATAATCAAAATGCTAGAGGCTTCTCTTTACGTCAATTATGTATCTATGGAAATGGAAATTTTCTTTAGTCAAATCCATTTACAACATTGTCCTATGATGGAATAAGGAGATATTAAATGACCTAGGAATATGATAAAACCTGGCTACGAAATGACTGACATGATGCGAAATGACAGGGTCATGAAACTGGGTGCAAACTTTTAAGGGGAGATACAACTTATTGATTATACCTGAACAACAAACACGAAGGTAGATCAACTAATTGATTACACCCTGAACTACAAACACAAAGGTACATCAACTTATTGATTACACCTGAACTACAAACACGAAGGTAGATCAACTAATAGATTACACCTGAACTACAAACACGAAGGTACATCAACTTATTGATTACACCCTGAACTACAAACATAAAGTACATCAACTTATTGATTACACCTGAACAACATACACGAAGGTACATCAACTAATAGATTACACCTGAACTACAAACACGAAGGTACATCAACTTATTGATTACACCTGAACAACAAACACAAAGGTACATCAACTTATTGATCACACCCTGAACTACAAACACGAAGGTACATCAACTTATTGATTACACCTGAACTACAAACACGAAGGTAGATCAACTAATAGATTACACCTGAACTACAAACACGAAGGTACATCAACTTATTGATTACACCCTGAACTACAAACATAAAGGTACATCAACTTATTGATTACACCTGAACAACATACACGAATGTACATCAACTTATTGATTACACCTAAACAACAAACACGAAGGTACATCAACTGATTGATTACACCTGAACTACAAACACGAAGGTAGATCAACTTATTGATTACACCTGAACTACAAACACGAAGGTACATCAACTTATTGATTACACCTGAACAACAAACACAAAGGTACATCAACTGATTGATTACACCCTGAACTACAAACACGAAGGTACATCAACTTATTGATTACACCCTGAACTACAAACACGAAGGTAGATCAACTTATTGATTACACCTGAACTACAAACACGAAGGTAGATCAACTTATTGATTACACCCTGAACTACAAACACGAAGGTACATCAACTTATTGATTAAACCCTGAACTACAAACACGAAGGTAGATCAACTTATTGATTACACCCTGAACTACAAACATGAAGGTACATCAACTTATTGATTACACCTGAACTACAAACACAAAGGTTCATCAACTTATTGATTACACCTGAACTACAAACATAAAGGTACATCAACATATTGATTACACCCTGAACTACAAACATGAAGGTAGATCAACTTATTCATAACACCTGAACTACAAACACGAAGGTAGATCAACTTATTGATTACACCTGAACAACAAACACGAAGGTACATCAACTGATTGATTACACCCTGAACTACAAACACGAAGGTACATCAACTTATTGATTACACCCTGAACTACAAACACGAAGGTAGATCAACTTATTGATTACACCTGAACAACAAACACAAAGGTACATCAACATATTGATTACACCTGAACAACAAACACGAAGGTACATCAACATATTGATTACACCTGAACAACAAACATAAAGGTACATCAACATATTGATTACACTTGAACTACAAACATAAAGGTAGATCAACATATTGATTACACCTGAACTACAAACATAAAGGTACATCAACTTATTGATTACACCTGAACTACAAACATAAAGGTAGATAAACATATTGATTACACCCTGAACTACAAACATAAAGGTACATCAACATATTGATTACACCTGAACAACAAACACGAAGGTACATCAACATATTGATTACACCCTGAACTACAAACATAAAGGTAGATCAACTTATTGATTACACCTGAACTACAAACATAAAGGTAGATCAACATATTGATTACACCTGAACTACAAACATAAAGGTACATCAACTTATTGATTACACCTGAAGTACAAACATAAAGGTAGATCAACATATTGATTACACCCTGAACTACAAACATAAAGGTACATCAACATATTGATTACACCTGAACTACAAACATAAAGGTACATCAACTTATTGATTACACCCTGAACTACAAACATAAAGGTACATCAACATATTGATTACACCCTGAACTACAAACATAAAGGTACATCAACTTATTGATTACACCTGAACTACAAACATAAAGGTAAATCAACATATTGATTACACCTGAACTACAAACATGAAGGTACATCAACTTATTGATTGCACCTGAACTACAAACACGAAGGTACATCAGCTTATTCATTACACCTGAACAACAAACAGGAAGGTTGATCAACTTATTGATTACACCTGAACAACAAACACGAAGGTACATCAACTTATTGATTACACCCTGAACTACAAACATAAAGGTACATCAACATATTGATTACACCCTGAACTACAAACATAAAGGTACATCAACTTATTGATTAGACCCTGAACTACAAACATAAAGGTACATCAACTTATTGATTGCATCAGAAATACAAACACGAAGGTACATCAAGATATTGATTACACCTGAACTACAAACACAAAGGTTCATCAACTTATTGATTACACCCTGAACTACAAACACGAAGGTACATCAACTTATTGATTACACCCTGAACTACAAACACAAAGGTACACCAACTTATTGATTACACCTGAACTACAAACACGAAGGTAGATCAACTTATTGATTACACCTGAACAACAAACACAAAGGTAAATCAACTTATTGATTACACCTGAACTACAAACATAAAGGTACATCAACTTATTGATTAAACCTGAACTACAAACATAAAGGTAGATCAACTTATTGATTGCACCTGAACTACAAACACGAAGGTACATCAGCTTATTCATTACACCTGAACAACAAACACGAAGGTTGATCAACTTATTGATTACACCTGAACAACAAACACGAAGGTACATCAACTTATTGATTACACCCTGAACTACAAACATAAAGGTACATCAACATATTGATTACACCCTGAACTACAAACATAAAGGTACATCAACTTATTGATTAGACCCTGAACTACAAACATAAAGGTACATCAACTTATTGATTGCACCTGAACTACAAACACGAAGGTACATGAACTTATTGATTACACCTGAACTACAAACACAAAGGTTCATCAACTTATTGATTACACCCTCAACTACAAACACGAAGGTACATCAACTTATTGATTACACCCTGAACAACAAACAACAAAGGTACACCAACTTATTGATTACACCTGAACTACAAACACGAAGGTACATCAACCTATTGATAACACCTGAACTACAAACACGAAAGTACATCAACTTATTGATTACACCTGAACTACAACCACAAAGGTACATCAACTTATTGATTACACCCTGAACTACAAATATAAAGGTACATCAACTTATTGATTACACCTAAACTACAAACATAAAGGTACATCAACTGATTGATTACACCTGAAATACAAACACAAAGGTAGATCAACTTATTGATTACACCCTGAACTACAAACATAAAGGTACATCAACTTATTGATTACACCTGAACTTCAAACACAAAGGTACATCAACTTATTGATTACACCCTGAACTACAAACACAAAGGTACATCAACTTATTGATTACACCTAAACTACAAACATAAAGGTACATCAACTTATTGATTACACCCTGAACTACAAACATAAAGGTACATCAACATATTTATTACACCCTGAACTAGAAGCATAATGGTACATCAACTTATTGATTACACCTGAACTACAAACACAAAGGTACATCAACTTATTGATTACACCTGAACTACAAACACAAAGGTACATCAACTTATTGATTACACCCTGAACTACAAACATAAAGGTACATCAACTTATTGATTACACCTGAACTACAAACACAAAGGTACATCAACTTATTGATTACACCCTGAACTACAAACATAAAGGTAGATCAACTTACTGATTACACCTGAACTACAAACACAAAGGTAGATCAACTTATTGATTACACCTGAACTACAAACATAAAGGTAGATCAACTTACTGATTACACCTGAACTACAAACATAGAGGTACATCAACTTATTGATTACACCTGAACTACAAACACGAAGGTACATCAACTTATTGATTACACCTGAACTACAAACACGAAGGTACATCAACTTATTGATTACACTTAACTACAAACATGAAAGTACATGAACTTATTGATTACACCTGAACTACAAACACAAAAGTACATCAACTTATTGATTACACCTGAACTACAAACACGAAGGTACATGAACTTATTGACTACACCTGAACTACAAACATGAGGTAAGGTAAAATTGGGTTTAATGTCGCTTCCAAGATTATTGCACTTTTATAGCAAAGTGCATCTATGTGTGTTAGTGGCTGCTTGTACTAGTCCGGACAGATGCTGATTTATAGTGCTAGTCCACTGAGATACCATGCCGCAGTTTAACATGAATACCCCACTCACACACAGTATACTGACTCCAAGCCAACTAGTCCTTGTTTTAGCCCCTTAATGCCGAGCGCCAGTCAGGGTAACAACTAGTACCATCTTCTAACGTCTTTTGGTATAATGCGTCCGTGAATCGAACCCCGGGCCTTCCGCTCTCCTGGCAGACACTCTACCACTAAACCACGGAGGCAGTCCTCAAACTCTTAAAGAGAATTAGCAAACTAATTGGTTTGTGGCCTGTAGAATAAAATAAAAAGTATGGCTGTATTGTTCTAGATCTATATGAATATTTAACAATTGTCGGTCAGTGACTACACTGCACTGACATCATACATATACGACTCATACACAGGAATTCCATGTTATAGGGGATAGAATTTTTTCTTATATGATTTTATACTTTACATGCTAACATATAATTCCTGTGGACTAGTATACCTGTGGCAGTTTTCTTGAGTTCATCGTTTGTTTCCAATATCTTCTTTAAGTGATTGTAGTAGACAAATGCCATCTCCAAAACGCCTTCAGCCATTGTAGAAGAAATACCTGAAACGTGTAAAACATTATTTTTATATACCCCAGCAGGCACACAATGTTTTTTCAACGTTGGACGATGATTGATTCCTTGTTGCGATGTTGATCAACCACGAATCAACTCAACTTATGTGACCTGTGAAAACATCTTGAACTGACGACCCATGAAGAATAGATCTTTAGCAACCAATGCTTGCCGTAAAAGGCAATATGCTTGTCGTAAGTGGCAACTAACAGGATCGGGTGGTCAGGTTGTTGACTTGGTTGCATAGCTCATGATGTCAATCACTGGATTGTCTGGTCCAGACTCGATTATTTACAGACAGCCGTCATATAGCTGGAATATTGCAGGGTGCTGCGTTTAACAACAAACAAAATCTTGAACTTACAACATTGTTTCAGCGTCGATTAGGACTAACTAGTACTAGTTATCGCCAAGGATCAATTACCGCCACCCCCCGATATAGTGCACACGTGATCGCATATCGTTTTACTTTAGCTACGGACAGACGATTCACCACATCAAATATTAAGAAATAATGAAATCACTGAAATACAGCTCTAAAACCTTTCTTTACACATTTATTTATTGTTTTTGCAAAAACTTTAACCAAAAAGACTACAAGAACAAAACAGTTATAAAATGAAGGGGTGGTTATTAAATGTAACAGTTAGCTGGCACATCCTCAGCCACCACAAAGTCGTGCTCTCCCCTTAAGCTACTTCTGCCATTACGACTGGTAACTCTATTAGTTCCTGTATAACGATCTGACAAACTGACGATTCAAATAACAAGTGTATCCAGCTAAGTATCGATGATATCGTAGGAATGGTGAATCATTACAGCCCAAGTACATAGTGTTATCAATGAGCTATGTAGATCAAATTTTGGGAATATTGGTTGCCAGTTGGCAGACAAGAAATTGATAAAACATTTCTTAATAATTTTAATGAATAAAATAATCGAGTGAGAAACCAGAGCTCATAAAAATGTAATTTGTATAACTGAAGCAGTGATCACGTGGCACGTGCTGCTTAAATGATGGTGATAACTGGTAGAGAAAATTTCTAGTTCCATCGTTTTGATTACCAGTGTGCGAGCTCAGCCTATGTTACCGCTTATAGATGAAAACCAAGCCTCGCTTTCACACAGGTTATGAATAGATTCAATGCCAAAGGCCCCATAGTGACGTCACAACCCCTGTCAAGGAAGTGAAATATCTTGGGCTCTACACCTACCTCATATAAACCTTTTATTACAAATCCTATATGAACATGTAGTAATGTTTTCATATATTTCACATTTCCGCATATGTCAATTTATTAAAATAATACCTAAATATAACCCATCCATGCACTGTAGAGGCTGTGAGAACATGTTTATTGAAGTCACGTGACCTCAAAATATTCTCTCACAGGGTAGGAGTCATTCACCAAATTATGAGTTCCATCTATCTTAAAGGGAGGAGGGGCCAATTCCTATGTTTCCTGCAATCACTGATCACTAAGCTTACAATATCCAACTCAAAATAGGAGGAGCTACAACTGTAAACATGTTTTTTACTGGATACAAGACAGTCCCCAGTTTCCCCCTCGAAGTGACCAAGAAGTCCCTCACAGAGCTGCCAGAAACATAAATACATCTGGCACTTTACTGATAGCATCACATTCTAGTGACAGATATGTTACTTTAGGGCAGCTTCACACCGTTTGTTTAATTTTGTGTTGACTGATATGTCATTGATGGTCTAATTTGTATGTCAGGGGTCTTAAAGGGGCACTGATCTAACGCAATTCCCCGGACTGGTTGTTGCCTTTGTTATTGTTTTTTTCCCCTTGAGTACCCGGATGATACGCAACGCAACTGAGCGTGACCAGAGACTGGGCTACCGTCTGCAAGGACAGCTAAATAAACTTGGAGGCTGGAGGCAATATTTGTTTTACGCAATTTTGCATAAACACTGATTGGTTAACTGTGATCTATAAAGATTTCGACAAAGGGCGCATGTTCATTAATTTCTTCAGCCTAAACAAACAGACAAAAAGAACAGCGGAGCTCATCGGATGTCGTCTACAAACATAAAGGTAGATCAACTTACTGATTACACCTGAACTACAAACATAAAGGTAGATCAACTTACTGATTACACCTGAACTACAAACATAAAGGTAGATCAACTTACTGATTACACCTGAACTACAAACACGAAGGTACATCAACATATTGATTACACCTGAACTACAAACACGAAGGTACATCAACTTATTGATTACACCTGAACTACAAACATAAAGGTACATCAACTTACTGATTACACCTGAACTACAAACATAAAGGTAGATCAACTTACTGATTACACCTGAACTACAAACATAAAGGTAGATCAACTTACTGATTACACCTGAACTACAAACATAGAGGTACATCAACTTATTGATTACACCTGAACTACAAACACGAAGGTACATCAACTTATTGATTACACCTGAACTACAAACACGAAGGTACATCAACTTATTGATTACACTTAACTACAAACATGAAAGTACATGAACTTATTGATTACACCTGAACTACAAACACAAAAGTACATCAACTTATTGATTACACCTGAACTACAAACACGAAGGTACATGAACTTATTGACTACACCTGAACTACAAACATGAGGTAAGGTAAAATTGGGTTTAATGTCGCTTCCAAGATTATTGCACTTTTATAGCAAAGTGCATCTATGTGTGTTAGTGGCTGCTTGTACTAGTCCGGACAGATGCTGATTTATAGTGCTAGTCCACTGAGATACCATGCCGCAGTTTAACATGAATACCCCACTCACACACAGTATACTGACTCAAAGCCAACTAGTCCTTGTTTTAGCCCCTTAATGCCGAGCGCCAGTCAGGGCAACAACTAGTACCATCTTCTAACGTCTTTTGGTATAATGCGTCCGTGAATCGAACCCCGGGCCTTCCGCTCTCCTGGCAGACACTCTACCACTAAACCACGGAGGCAGTCCTCAAACTCTTAAAGAGAATTAGCAAACTAATTGGTTTGTGGCCTGTAGAATAAAATAAAAAGTATGGCTGTATTGTTCTAGATCTATATGAATATTTAACAATTGTCGGTCAGTGACTACACTGCACTGACATCATACATATACGACTCATACACAGGAATTCCATGTTATAGGGGATAGAATTTTTTCTTATATGATTTTATACTTTACATGCTAACATATAATTCCTGTGGACTAGTATACCTGTGGCAGTTTTCTTGAGTTCATCGTTTGTTTCCAATATCTTCTTTAAGTGATTGTAGCAGACAAATGCCATCTCCAAAACGCCTTCAGCCATTGTAGAAGAAATACCTGAAACGTGTAAAACATTATTTTTATATACCCCAGCAGGCACACAATGTTTTTTCAACGTTGGACGATGATTGATTCCTTGTTGCGATGTTGATCAACCACGAATCAACTCAACTTATGTGACCTGTGAAAACATCTTGAACTGACGACCCATGAAGAATAGATCTTCAGCAACCAATGCTTGCCGTAAAAGGCAATATGCTTGTCGTAAGTGGCAACTAACAGGATCGGGTGGTCAGGTTGTTGACTTGGTTGCATAGCTCATGATGTCAATCACTGGATTGTCTGGTCCAGACTCGATTATTTACAGACAGCCGTCATATAGCTGGAATATTGCAGGGTGCTGCGTTTAACAACAAACAAAATCTTGAACTTACAACATTGTTTCAGCGTCGATTAGGACTAACTAGTACTAGTTATCGCCAAGGATCAATTACCGCCACCCCCCGATATAGTGCAAACGTGATCGCATATCGTTTTACTTTAGCTACGGACAGACGATTCACCACATCAAATATTAAGAAATAATGAAATCACTGAAATACAGCTCTAAAACCTTTCTTTACACATTTATTTATTGTTTTTGCAAAAACTTTAACCAAAAAGACTACAAGAACAAAACAGTTATAAAATGAAGGGGTGGTTATTAAATGTAACAGTTAGCTGGCACATCCTCAGCCACCACAAAGTCGTGCTCTCCCCTTAAGCTACTTCTGCCATTACGACTGGTAACTCTATTAGTTCCTGTATAACGATCTGACAAACTGACGATTCAAATAACAAGTGTATCCAGCTAAGTATCGATGATATCGTAGGAATGGTGAATCATTACAGCCCAAGTACATAGTGTTATCAATGAGCTATGTAGATCAAATTTTGGGAATATTGGTTGCCAGTTGGCAGACAAGAAATTGATAAAACATTTCTTAATAATTTTAATGAATAAAATAATCGAGTGAGAAACCAGAGCTCATAAAAATGTAATTTGTATAACTGAAGCAGTGATCACGTGGCACGTGCTGCTTAAATGATGGTGATAACTGGTAGAGAAAATTTCTAGTTCCATCGTTTTGATTACCAGTGTGCGAGCTCAGCCTATGTTACCGCTTATAGATGAAAACCAAGCCTCGCTTTCACACAGGTTATGAATAGATTCAATGCCAAAGGCCCCATAGTGACGTCACAACCCCTGTCAAGGAAGTGAAATATCTTGGGCTCTACACCTACCTCATATAAACCTTTTATTACAAATCCTATATGAACATGTAGTAATGTTTTCATATATTTCACATTTCCGCATATGTCAATTTATTAAAATAATACCTAAATATAACCCATCCATGCACTGTAGAGGCTGTGAGAACATGTTTATTGAAGTCACGTGACCTCAAAATATTCTCTCACAGGGTAGGAGTCATTCACCAAATTATGAGTTCCATCTATCTTAAAGGGAGGAGGGGCCAATTCCTATGTTTCCTGCAATCACTGATCACTAAGCTTACAATATCCAACTCAAAATAGGAGGAGCTACAACTGTAAACATGTTTTTTACTGGATATAAGACAGTCCCCAGTTTCCCCCTCGAAGTGACCAAGAAGTCCCTCACAGAGCTGCCAGAAACATAAATACATCTGGCACTTTACTGATAGCATCACATTCTAGTGACAGATATGTTACTTTAGGGCAGCTTCACACCGTTTGTTTAATTTTGTGTTGACTGATATGTCATTGATGGTCTAATTTGTATGTCAGGGGTCTTAAAGGGGCACTGATCTAACGCAATTCCCCGGACTGGTTGTTGCCTTTGTTATTGTTTTTTTCCCCTTGAGTACCCGGATGATACGCAACGCAACTGAGCGTGACCAGAGACTGGGCTACCGTCTGCAAGGACAGCTAAATAAACTTGGAGGCTGGAGGCAATATTTGTTTTACGCAATTTTGCATAAACACTGATTGGTTAACTGTGATCTATAAAGATTTCGACAAAGGGCGCATGTTCATTAATTTCTTCAGCCTAAACAAACAGACAAAAAGAACAGCGGAGCTCATCGGATGTCGTCTACAAACATAAAGGTAGATCAACTTACTGATTACACCTGAACTACAAACATAAAGGTAGATCAACTTACTGATTACACCTGAACTACAAACATAAAGGTAGATCAACTTACTGATTACACCTGAACTACAAACACGAAGGTACATCAACATATTGATTACACCTGAACTACAAACACGAAGGTACATCAACTTATTGATTACACCTGAACTACAAACATAAAGGTACATCAACTTACTGATTACACCTGAACTACAAACATAAAGGTAGATCAACTTACTGATTACACCTGAACTACAAACATAAAGGTAGATCAACTTACTGATTACACCTGAACTACAAACATAGAGGTACATCAACTTATTGATTACACCTGAACTACAAACACGAAGGTACATCAACTTATTGATTACACCTGAACTACAAACACGAAGGTACATCAACTTATTGATTACACTTAACTACAAACATGAAAGTACATGAACTTATTGATTACACCTGAACTACAAACACAAAAGTACATCAACTTATTGATTACACCTGAACTACAAACACGAAGGTACATGAACTTATTGACTACACCTGAACTACAAACATGAGGTAAGGTAAAATTGGGTTTAATGTCGCTTCCAAGATTATTGCACTTTTATAGCAAAGTGCATCTATGTGTGTTAGTGGCTGCTTGTACTAGTCCGGACAGATGCTGATTTATAGTGCTAGTCCACTGAGATACCATGCCGCAGTTTAACATGAATACCCCACTCACACACAGTATACTGACTCAAAGCCAACTAGTCCTTGTTTTAGCTCCTTAATGCCGAGCGCCAGTCAGGGTAACAACTAGTACCATCTTCTAACGTCTTTTGGTATAATGCGTCCGTGAATCGAACCCCGGGCCTTCCGCTCTCCTGGCAGACACTCTACCACTAAACCACGGAGGCAGTCCTCAAACTCTTAAAGAGAATTAGCAAACTAATTGGTTTGTGGCCTGTAGAATAAAATAAAAAGTATGGCTGTATTTTTCTAGATCTATATGAATATTTAACAATTGTCGGTCAGTGACTACACTGCACTGACATCATACATATACGACTCATACACAGGAATTCCATGTTATAGGGGATAGAATTTTTTCTTATATGATTTTATACTTTACATGCTAACATATAATTCCTGTGGACTAGTATACCTGTGGCAGTTTTCTTGAGTTCATCGTTTGTTTCCAATATCTTCTTTAAGTGATTGTAGCAGACAAATACCATCTCCAAAACGCCTTCAGCCATTGTAGAAGAAATACCTGAAACGTGTAAAACATTATTTTTATATACCCCAGCAGGCACACAATGTTTTTTCAACGTTGGACGATGATTGATTCCTTGTTGCGATGTTGATCAACCACGAATCAACTCAACTTATGTGACCTGTGAAAACATCTTGAACTGACGACCCATGAAGAATAGATCTTCAGCAACCAATGCTTGCCGTAAAAGGCAATATGCTTGTCGTAAGTGGCAACTAACAGGATCGGGTGGTCAGGTTGTTGACTTGGTTGCATAGCTCATGATGTCAATCACTGGATTGTCTGGTCCAGACTCGATTATTTACAGACAGCCGTCATATAGCTGGAATATTGCAGGGTGCTGCGTTTAACAACAAACAAAATCTTGAACTTACAACATTGTTTCAGCGTCGATTAGGACTAACTAGTACTAGTTAACGCCAAGGATCAATTACCGCCACCCCCCGATATAGTGCACACGTGATCGCATATCGTTTTACTTTAGCTACGGACAGACGATTCACCACATCAAATATTAAGAAATAATGAAATCACTGAAATACAGCTCTAAAACCTTTCTTTACACATTTATTTATTGTTTTTGCAAAAACTTTAACCAAAAAGACTACAAGAACAAAACAGTTATAAAATGAAGGGGTGGTTATTAAATGTAACAGTTAGCTGGCACATCCTCAGCCACCACAAAGTCGTGCTCTCCCCTTAAGCTACTTCTGCCATTACGACTGGTAACTCTATTAGTTCCTGTATAACGATCTGACAAACTGACGATTCAAATAACAAGTGTATCCAGCTAAGTATCGATGATATCGTAGGAATGGTGAATCATTACAGCCCAAGTACATAGTGTTATCAATGAGCTATGTAGATCAAATTTTGGGAATATTGGTTGCCAGTTGGCAGACAAGAAATTGATAAAACATTTCTTAATAATTTTAATGAATAAAATAATCGAGTGAGAAACCAGAGCTCATAAAAATGTAATTTGTATAACTGAAGCAGTGATCACGTGGCACGTGCTGCTTAAATGATGGTGATAACTGGTAGAGAAAATTTCTAGTTCCATCGTTTTGATTACCAGTGTGCGAGCTCAGCCTATGTTACCGCTTATAGATGAAAACCAAGCCTCGCTTTCACACAGGTTATGAATAGATTCAATGCCAAAGGCCCCATAGTGACGTCACAACCCCTGTCAAGGAAGTGAAATATCTTGGGCTCTACACCTACCTCATATAAACCTTTTATTACAAATCCTATATGAACATGTAGTAATGTTTTCATATATTTCACATTTCCGCATATGTCAATTTATTAAAATAATACCTAAATATAACCCATCCATGCACTGTAGAGGCTGTGAGAACATGTTTATTGAAGTCACGTGACCTCAAAATATTCTCTCACAGGGTAGGAGTCATTCACCAAATTATGAGTTCCATCTATCTTAAAGGGAGGAGGGGCCAATTCCTATGTTTCCTGCAATCACTGATCACTAAGCTTACAATATCCAACTCAAAATAGGAGGAGCTACAACTGTAAACATGTTTTTTACTGGATACAAGACAGTCCCCAGTTTCCCCCTCGAAGTGACCAAGAAGTCCCTCACAGAGCTGCCAGAAACATAAATACATCTGGCACTTTACTGATAGCATCACATTCTAGTGACAGATATGTTACTTTAGGGCAGCTTCACACCGTTTGTTTAATTTTGTGTTGACTGATATGTCATTGATGGTCTAATTTGTATGTCAGGGGTCTTAAAGGGGCACTGATCTAACGCAATTCCCCGGACTGGTTGTTGCCTTTGTTATTGTTTTTTTCCCCTTGAGTACCCGGATGATACGCAACGCAACTGAGCGTGACCAGAGACTGGGCTACCGTCTGCAAGGACAGCTAAATAAACTTGGAGGCTGGAGGCAATATTTGTTTTACGCAATTTTGCATAAACACTGATTGGTTAACTGTGATCTATAAAGATTTCGACAAAGGGCGCATGTTAATTAATTTCTTCAGCCTAAACAAACAGACAAAAAGAACAGCGGAGCTCATCGGATGTCGTCATTTGGAAATACCCCAGATGGTTATAGTTTATACTAAAAAAGTATCCATGCAGTGAAAGCATTTTCGGATTTCGGCTTGCGTGGATAATACGATTACTACTCCCTTGTTGTCATCCACGTTTTCTCGTATAACCCTACACTTGTGTATTTGTCGTCATTCACTTGATGCTCAGTAAATGAATTTATTACAGGTACAATTAGTGGTAGCACCACTTAGATTACCTGACAAAGGTTCCCATTTGGCATTTATTGTGTCTGGGGTAATTATTCAATCTAAATCCAGGTTTGAAGTGAGGTGAAATGTGTGTTATGTAATATGCACGTGGCAGCCCAGCAAGAGATGAATGATCAGTTGATTTACTTTTTTTTGTAAATCAACGGATCGTTCCTAGTCATCAAAGGATTAACAGAAAATATGTTGATTGATTAATCACTGTTATCTTGCACAGTGGATATGTCAAGAGTGAGTGTTTACATGTCTAGGTTTACTAAACCAAAGGGAATACACTCATATCATGGCGTGAAGTGCCGATGTAAAAACAACATACTTTGTTCAAAGGGTTAACTGATAATACGTTGATTGATTGATCATTGTTATCTATCACTCAATGGATTTTTTAGGAACCGTGGACGTAATGAAAATAGTTGTCACGTGGGCTTTCTCAGCCGACCATTGAGACTTGACACCTATGTAAAACACCTGAAACAATCCAAGTGATCAGTTGAGAAATGAACACGGGTTATAATATCCCGAAACGATATATATCTTTTAAAATATTTGATTGTTACTGAGACACGTGACATCGAATAAGTTTGTTTGTACAGCTGCAGACGAGTGGGATATTGTTCCTTTGTGTGGATATTCACGGAGACATTCCTTGAACAAGGAAGCTGCCTAAAATTTATACCCATAAATTTGGTAGGTTGTAATTATGATATTTGCATTTTGTTTTCCTTCATTTGAACCGATTCGTTCTTGTTTCTCTACGTCTTGGTTGGGAAATTCTTCAATGCGGGATAGACGTTGTTTTCACAGGTCTTTTCCTTTGTAAGCGTGTATATATTACCGTCAATTTGTAAAATGTGATTCTCTCAGGCAATTTATAAAATGTGTAAATATTTCAGTCATTTTGACTAAAAAATCTGTCCAGATTGATTAAGACGATCAAAAGGGCCTACAAACATCACAACAGATTTTTATGTAGGATTAGAAGCCAAACAACATAGAAATGTACTTTTCAACGTAACATATTCAGTCTCTTGGTGATGACATTAAACATCAAAATGTTTGGAATTCGTTATCATAATAATACAGATGGAAATGTTTTTCAGTCACTTTGTAAAATAACTGAATATTTAGACGTTTAATAAATTTGTTACACATTTGACAGTAAAACAATATACACACTATAAAAAAAGCAATGCTCAGGTAAAATATTTACTTTGTGTTGCAAGTCAAAATAGTGTAAACGAAAATTGCAAAATTACCAAGCAAGTGACTTATCAAAACTTCGTCACCATTACCGATGCTACCCACAAAGATACCTACATTTCCTTATTATCTCGAAAACTGTATTTCATTTTGTTGATCAATGTGACCATACGCCCTTATTACTACCCATAAAAGTGACTAATGCGCTTACGAATGGCGCAGCAGAGGTCGCAAACTAGTCTAGATTTCTGCTATACATCCGGGTACTCACTGGGAAAAAACAATAACAAAGGCAACAACCAGTCCCGGGGAATTGCGTTAGATCAGTGCCCCTTTTACTGATTGCTTACAGGTTGTGGTGTTTGCAAATGGCGTCTATAGTCAGGTGAAACACCCGGGACACACTTGACTTCACAGTCCCGTGAAGGTCGCCCAACTCAACGAAAAAAACACCCTTGCTTAAATATCTCAAAGTCAGGAGTAACTTCGTTTTTGGGGACAGGGAATGTGAACGCTGGGTTGCTGGTGTAATGGATGGAGAGACTGCTTCGAGCAGTTTCAAGAGGGCGTGGCGTGGCATACGATATCGCGCATACAGTTCATCGTCAGATAACGTATCCAGCTGCTGGGTGCGGTCTCTGAAAACCCTTTCTGTGTGTAAGACACGGTCCATTTCCTTGCACATCATAATAAAAGTCGCCATCTTTGTTGTTATAGTACAATATTTAAGATTGATTTTAGCGATCCTAAGTTGGTCCGGAGCAACTTAGCATTTAATCCTAACTTACAACTCTCTTAGTTAAGATTGCTTTGTGGAACGGGCGGCCGATCGTAACTAAAATTTTAGATCGCATACTTATTGAGTTACAATCAACTTAGCCCTAAGATCGCTTTGTTGAACAGGGCCCTGGTCTGGAATGGACTGAAGTGCTAAGTGAACTATTTTTTTTCTTTTTCCACCTTGCGTGTGTAAACTGTGTCAGTGTCAGATAAAATGAATGCTGTATTTAGAAATAAGTGGTTATAAGGGATCTAGTTATTTCAAGCTTAAGCTATATAGATTATGGACAGGAAGACTAGGTTAAGGACCCTTATGGAAAACGTTGAAATTTAGGTATGAAAATTATCAAACATGTTTACATGGCTGACAACAAGCCTTTTTCTGTTGCACTTGCAAGAATTGAACTTCAGACATGGTCAAATACATGTAGGGCTGTAATGAGTGAGTGAGTATGGTTTTACGCCACTTTTACCAATATTCAGCAATATCACTGCGGGCGCCACCAGAAATGGGCTTCACACAATGTACCCATGTCGGGAATCGAACCCGGGTCTTCGGCATGACGAGCGAACGCTTTAACCACTAGGCTACCTGACCGCCCTAATGAGTGAAATAGATGACGATCATGCATTTACGCGTTATGTTTTTAGGAAATATTATTATATTTATTTTAATTTTCATAATGATTGTGTTACTAAATCATGTATTTATTCGTATTTCAATACTT